AGTTTGAGTTGGCCAAAGCATTAACTTCAATTTGGTTAATGTTTGGTGCATTTTATATTCAATCTGATAGCGTTACCAGATCGGGGTGTCAGACTAATATTCACCAAGAACCACATCAGCCTTATAGGTGTCTTCAAAGGATTGGTTGTAATTGTAAGTCTGTATAGATGTCACTATGTTGACCTGACATTGAAAGCCTCACAGGCCACATAGACAGATTCGGACTAAGATGGGTTTAGTCCTGGTTGTAGAGAATAGGCAGGATATAAAATTGATGATAATTATCAGTTGTCTAAAAATTAACTTGCTCCCGGTTAAGATCAAATTTAGTAGGAGATTGCTAAGAAAACACCTAATAGTTGGACAGTGCTTAACTAAGCTGATTTTACCTTCACTGATTTTAAAAATGATCACAATAATACAGTGAAATACCATTTAATGAAGGATACCACTAAAATTTAAAGTCTAAGAAGATGTCCTCTTAGTAATACTGTATCCTTTCCCCTAATATATCATTGTCATCCACGTTTAATTATATATAATTGTGGAATATCTTAAATCTCCAAACTTATGTCTTACTCTCTTGAAAGGGATTCAGCATTTATCTCTTGAGAGTTAAGAAAGGAAATTTTCTATCTTATTTCTTGAATCACTGCAGGCATTCTTAATCTGTTGGAATTATGAGTATTTGCTACTTACCTGGTGGATCAATGATCTATAGCACTTCCCTTCAGACAAATCTCCTCATCTCCATTTATCATATGGGGGAATGTGGCACACTGTTCTTGGTGAATGCCATTGACATTAATAAATCATTACAAGAAAAAGAAATATGGATTTAGGTAGAAGATTAATGGCTATGCCATTCCGTTTTTGACTTCCCCAAGGCCAAGGCCTGGATGATACTGTAGTCACTACAGAAACCAATGTCCCCGACCACATGAACAAGCTACTATGACATGAGTAGAAGCTATGCAAAGAGACACGGGGATCCATATAGATTAGACAAAGAGCTTGTTAACACTGACCTCTTTACATTGTACTATATGTTAACTTTAGACCTACACACATAGTAGTAATTTATTTTTAGGTCAGCTAGAAAGAGGTACTTCAGGAGAAACCTAAAAACATCATATCACATGCACGAGTAGGGATGGGACAAGTCTCCTTGTGAAGAGAAAAAGCATAATCATCACCATCATCATCATTATCTCAGCTGTGTCAGCCCCAAGTCTATTTTTTTCTCCTGCGGATTTTCTATCCTTTTCTTTGTCAAAATAAACACACACAAAATTGCATCATTTGGAATACTTCGGGGGGAGCAATTCATCTTTCTAGTCAGTGTTTCCAAATTGGAAGTGGGTTTGGGGAAGTGTTAAAGGGAGTTTTGAGAGATGTTTATGTCATTTTCAGTGGTCTATATACTGGCCATAATGTACTGGGCAGAAAAATGGATCCTGGCCCTCCTGCTATTGTCCACCTCTTCTAGACCACCGTTTGAATGCCTGCAAACCATTCCTTCCTCATTGTATATCTGATAATTATGGAAGACAAATGGCTTCTACTACTAGTCAGGTTTCTGCTTTTGTCACATCATTTGCTTTTTTACAACAGTTTATTTGATAAAGAACCTCAAAAGTGAACACCAGCATCACTCTACCATTTTATCTGGCTTCATACAAGTATTGCTCTGCTGGACATTTTGGAATTTTTTTCTTTTTAACTTAACTAGCTTGGGGATCCAGCGGTGCCCGGGTTATTTGAAAAAGACATTGTTTCTTTTGGGATGTTAGGCACTATCAGTTTGGTAATTTGTAGCTCTATTTCTTAGGGAAAAAAGTCAGTCTTTCCTGTTGTTTTTATGAATGCTCTCATTAGAAAATGCATAAGGATGTGGGTGAATTGCAATTCTCAAAATTGTGGGTCATTCACACCAAACTCCACTATTCAAACTTGGCCATGTTGGGTCTGTGTATCAAGTTTGGTACAGATCTGACGTTGACTGGGTTCAGTGCTCAAAGGGTTAAGTGAAGGGCAGTGTGTGTGTGTGTGTGTGGGGGGGGGGTTAAATGCAAATTCCACACCAATGGAGAAAGAAAAGAACATTGGCAGGGGTTGGGAGACATGTTCACAGTGCCTGCTGTAACCTGAAATGTCCTTGGGGGGGAGTGCTTTTGGTGACACCTCAGCACTGTGGGTTAAAGCTGTTTGTAGAGGTGGAAGCTTGTCTGTGTAAGTGGACACCTCTGCCACATACACACATATGCATTTTCACGTTTATTATGTGTATAGATATATGTATAGATAGTTGCTTTTTTGTGTATGTGCTGAACACCCAAACATGTATTTTGTATTGAGAAGATATTGAGGGCTCTTCCTCACAGCCCTATATCCCATAATATCAAGGCAGAAAATCCCACAATATCATGCTTTGAACTGGGTTATCTGAGTCCATACTGTCATATATTCCAGTTCAAAGCAGATAATGTGGGATTTTATTCAGCTGTATGGAAGGGGCCTGAGTTCCAGCAAGTACCGAGACAGAAGCATAACTAAGGAATTGATTATTTTGGAAAAGGAGACACTTGGATAAATCAAGGGTGGTACACTGTTTCATAACCAACTCTTTTGTTACCAGATTTGTCCTGTTTAAACCACACTGTACACCTTGGTTAATCTTGCATTTACATACCTTCTATAGGTTTGATGTACCCCACTCCTAAAATACACAGAGACAGCCAGAAATTGTCACAAACTGTGTATGTGCCATCTTCTGTTCTAAGGAAACGTGGGGTGAAAGTATAATACATTGAAGAAGAAGCATGATAGTTCTGTGTATCAATTGGCTGTAAGAAACCATCCTTGTATACTTGGCTGCCCCCTTTTTAATTTTGTTTATCTTATAGCACATCCAATGCTGCTGTGCTGTTTTTTATGTAGGTTTTTTTACTAGCTTTCTTTGACTCTGTTGTTTTTTTTAAAAGAAAATTCATTCCTTCTTAAATACATTGATCTCAATGACTTTTCTTACTTATAAATAGCACTGCAATAACAAATAAAAAGAGTTAGCAATATATTTTTATAAGTAAGGTCAATCTCTGTAGCTTCTCAAGATCTATAAATGTCAATCACTTTTGAAAGCCACCCAAAGCAATGAACAATATGAATGAATAATGCTTTTGATTATAAAATATGGGCAGTCTTTTTCATGCTCTGTCCTGTTATGGCTCATTTTGTTATCATTCATAGAATAAGAGGCTTCAGGGGTATGTTTGTGTGTGCTTATCCACTTGAGGTCTATCTCACAAGGTCAGTTTTGGGACTCCAGTTACCACCTTGTAGGTATCAGTCTTAAAAACGCAAAATTAGGTTTAGTTCGTGGGTCGGGTAGTTTAACATCACATAATTTTGCAATGCAATTCACATCAGCACTGGATCTTAGGTGGCGATGGGGGATTTTGAACGTCGCTGAGAGGAGACATGATGGCCATGTATAAATATGTGAGGGGAAGTCATGAGGAGGAGGGAGCAAGCTTGTTTTCTGCTGCCCTTGAGACTAGGATGCAGAACAATGACTTCAAACTACAGGAAAGGAGATGCCACCTGAACATTAGGAAGAACTTCCTGACTGTGAGAGCTGTTCAGCAGTGGAACTCTCTGCCCTGGAGTGTGGTGGTGGCTCCTTCTTTGGAGGCTTTTAAGCAGAGGATAGATGGCCATCTGTTGGGGGTGCTTTGAATGTGATTGGCAAGGGGTTGGACTGGATGGCCCTCAAGGTCTCTTCCAACTCAAGGATTCTATGATTCTATGTGAAGGGACACACGTGATCTGCACCCTTGGTGTAATGATCTGCACCTCTAGTTCAGTGACCCCCAATTGTTAAACTATAACTTCACCATTGACAAAGTTAGAAGAATTGCAGGAGTTGCAGTTCACCTTTTGGAGGCCCACAAATTTTCTATCCTTATATATTTTTTAAAAAGTCAGCCCTGTAGTCTTGGAAGGTGGCTATTGAGACAAGTATTTGGTAGACCACAAACCTGTAGATGGCATATTGCCATGTTTGGATGTAAACATTTGAATTGAAATATAATGTTAATCCTCAATTTAATACTCTTAGTATGAGTGTAGGTCTCCTCTCTTATTTTCCTGACCTTTAGGCGCTGCTATTAAAGTTGGCTTTATTTGAAGTATATCATTTCCTTTAAAGCTTTTATTTTACTGAAGGTAAATCTCTACTAGTTATGCATCTGATGTTTTGAAATAAATAGATGGTAGATTGCAGTTTTTGATGCCCTGGTAAGAGAGGTTATTTTTGTTATTTCGTTAAAATGATGCATTCCATTTTTACATCTCAGTAGTTAATAGAAATGTCTATTATTTACACTTGATAGTGGCAGACTTGTATATTAAATCAGATTGGTTGTTTTGATCAATATTATCTTTCATTAAGACACTTGGAACTTGATGCAAATCTGCTCTTTGGTAATTTGATTTCTCCTCATTGCACAGTCACGGAAGAGGCAGGAGTTTCCATGATATGGCTCTTGTCATCTCTTCCACATTTATTATGCTGGGATTTCTACTGACACAGACAACTATTGCTCTTATGATAGTAGAGGTTGGTAATCAGTGAATCTATTCCAGGTTTTAATCTATGCTGATGAATTTCTATCTCCAATATAGACCGAGCACCTTGGATAAGCCTTTTTAGAGGCCACTGTTTGTACTATTTGCTGGGTCTTTATGTTAGAAGTTGGAGTTTGGTATTAACAGACACAAACACACACGTCTACAAATTACTTGTTAATTCTCCACATTCTCTATATTGCACAAAGTTTTTAATGTAACATGAGCAATTATTTTTGTTGTGAGCTGTTTGTGCCAAGCATGCTGGCATAGGTAGTATTTGCTGAATGGCATATTGTGGTAGATTTGATCCATATGTTTTAAGACTCATTCCTTACTCATGATGGATCTGTGCCCCCCCTTTTTTTTAGGTTGACTGGCATCAACTGGATTATCTGGTAATTGATTTGCCCCCTGGGACAGGAGATGTACAGCTATCAATCTCACAGAATGTCCCGATTGCAGGTATATTTTATAGATATGTAGTCCAGTTTTTGCCTATCTACTCAGGAATAAGGTGAAAAACACTTTTATTTTTGTTTATAATGCTTATAAAATAGATTATATATATGGTAGAATAAGAGTGTCTTTCTACAAAAGAACTGCTATCTCTGGAGGCTTCCAACTAAACTAGTTATCAATGATGATGATGGCAATGATGACTGCAATAAGTTGCCTCCTTATTTTAGTGCTGGTTTTAGCTTTTAGACCTCCAATCAGTTTAACCCACATTCCTTGAAGGATTATCTTCTCCCATGTTAACCTATCCAGACCTGAGACCTACATTAACACTTCAGGTGACACTGGCAAATGAGATGAAGCCGGTGGCTGCCAGGTACCATTCTCAATGGAATACCTTCCCTAAAGATGTTTGCCTAGTGCCTTCATTATGGTATTTTTAATGTCAGGCAAAGCCATGTTTATATCTTCAGACACTTTAAGAATTAGGTTGTTGTAGGTTTTTTGGGCTGTATGTCCATGTTCTGGAAGCATTCTCTCCTGATGTTTCGCCTGCATCTATGGCAGGCATCCTTAGAGGTTGTGAGGTCCTCACAACTTCTGAGGATGCCTGCCATAGATTCAGGTGAAACCTACAACAACCCAATGATTCCGGCTATGAAAGCCTTCGACAATACTTTAAGAATTGTTTTACTGCTTTTAGATCTTAGCATTGTTCTTTTTTATTGCTGGTTGTGTTTTGGCTCCATGTGTTGCAGGGTTTTTACCCATTCCTGTTGCTTTTATTTTATATGCTGTTTCACTAGTATTTTTTAAAATGTTTTTAATATAAATAATAAAAACAGCCATCCTGGCTCAGTCCTATAGACTATCACTTCTAGTCCAGTATTTTGTTCCTTTCGGGGTAAGCGAGATGTCTATAGGAAAGTCACAAACAAGACATGAGGAACATTGCAGCCTCTTCCTTATGTTCTAGTTGACAATAGCACTGTGTGTACGTGTATCTGGGAGCGGGGGTATAGATAAATAAAAATGTTCCTGACTGGCTTTTTATTAGAGAATATTGAAGGCAGAGGAATGGATTTCTACACATAAGATTTGTGAAGAGAATGAGAGCCAGATTCAGTACATGTCAAACGATGCATAATCCCTGCAACGTCTTGTTCATTCAATCATCCTTAATATAGTTCATCTCTGAAAAGTGATTAGGTAAAAATTATACATTCTTCTTAAGTCGGGTTGCTTCTCAAATGAATTTCAGTCACATTTGCTGATTTTAATGATCAAAATAATTTCATACTTACCAGTCTTATTAATCCTGCACAGGCAATACTGCTCAGGGGGAAATAGTTGGATTCTCATTCCTCAGTAATGTGATTGTGACATATTGGAAAGAAGATTTCTCCCCTCCCCTTCCCTTGAATAAAAATGTATTGGGGATTGTTAGGAGATGGGAGGGAAGAAGTAATGTCTAGGTAAGGTGAGAAAGTTTATCCCAAATTCAATGAGACGTTTTAATATTTGTGCTAGATATAAATAAATTCCAAAATAAGTAAACGCCATATATGTTGAAAATGTCTTTTTAAAATACAAATTGGATTTATGTGTGAAATAGCTGTGTATCGGATAAGCATGAAATAACCCCAAGACTGTGAGAGTAAAGCTTTGGTTTCAAAACCAGTGGAAAATTGCAATACTAATTTCAAGGTGTGGGTGTTTATTGGTAGCTCTGCCTTAGTGACAAATGGAAGATCCTATGGAAGTGAATGGGAAATGAAAGTGTAGGTTAGTGTTTATGTGTGTGTGAAGGGAGAGAATCAATTGGGTGCTTCAGACAGCATGAATGGAAATACTTTCTGTTAAAGAAAAGCCACCATTTATCTTTAATTATAGTTTATTATGTTGCAGCATGGCATTTTTTCCCTTCTAAGGAGTGATAGTCTTGAATTAAATACAAAGACAGCATTCCTGAAAGCATTGTTTGTGTCATTCTTTTTTCTAGGGGCTGTGATTGTATCTACCCCTCAGGATATAGCTTTATTGGATGCACGCAGAGGAACTGAAATGTTTAGAAAAGTGAATGTGCCAGTAAGTATTTACAAATACATGTTATTATATATGTGAACTTTGAGGACAGGTGACTTGCCCCATATGTCTCTGAAGCAATGTTTATCTAATCCCTGGTAGCCCTATCAGATTCAAAATGAAACAAAACATTTCTCATTATCTCCCCTTTAAGGAAAGGGCATATATCAGTGATGAAGCATATGCCTTGTGTGCAAAATGTTCCATCTTCAATCCCTGGCATCTCCAGTTTTTTAAGAACCCCGGAGAACCACTGACAATAATTGATAACAATCCTGGAGTAGACAGCCAGCAACCTGACTTTAAAAATACTAAGTTGCATTATACAACTTCACTCCTATGGAAAATGAAGCGTTACTGTTCCGCCTCCACTGATTACTGTTCTTTCTTTTGTGGTTTGTCTTGTTTATGTCTGAGCTTTTGGTGCTGGATAGCTGTTGAGCAATTGTGATAAGATCCACTTACAAAGTCACATATATTTTGATTGAGTTACAGTTTTAGATAGTAATATCCTGAGAGTAAAGAATGTGTTTTTTTGTTTTTGTTTCAAGTACTCAGTGTTTTATTTATTGATAAATGTATAAACTGGGAACAAATTTGGTTTTTGCCTGAATGCTATATATGGTACATACCTAGCGGGAAATAAAACTATTGAAGAAGTGAATTGTGTGTATATTACATAGCTATATTACATGCAGATTGTATAAACCTTAATAATTTGAAGTGCAGATTTACCTGATATGTGTCAGTTGTTCATCTATATATCATATAAGAAGCTATCATTTGCAGAAGTATTATTGAAAAACCTGAACAAGTAAATTTTCTGTGCAGAATGGCTGTTTAAGGTTAGAATTATCACCTATTCTGGTGTCCACTTCAATGCCACTATCATTCTAAGCAGGAGCCTCCAGAAATTTAGAGAGGTTATTAAGTCATACTAATTTTTGAGATCTTTCTGCTGGGGAGATTATCTAGAAGCACAGACAAAGATAAGATTATCCCTCTTCTATTTGGACCCTTAAAACATGCTGTAGGCTGGGAAGCATTCTAGAGTAGGTTTCCAGATGGCCATTAGCTCGCAGGTGGGAGGAAATGTAAAGGAAGTCTTGACACGAACATGACCTTGGATATAGGCCATAGCTAGCCTGATCAAAAGCAGTAGGGAAGAAGACTGCATTACTGATGGGTTGACTCAATAAAGAGAAACACAGTCCTTTTTTAATTTCTAAAAAAATATATATTTTAAAATTGTAATACACCCCCAATACACATTACAAACATGTACGAATAAACATACATAGACAACCCGCCAACCACATTGCAGTTACCCCTCATCTCACCCCCAGTGCAACCCATCACCTTGGCTTCCGTCACTAATCCTCGCAGAGTTTATGCTTATTTTATTTACCCTTTTATACTTCTAGATCAATAAATTATTGTTTTTATTTCTTAAATTCTACCATCAGATATGCTATAGTCTATCATCATCATATTTCTATTTGTTACCTGCTTCTGCCTATGGCTCAAGGCAGGGTACAACATGGTTAAAAACAGGCGGACACACAGGCTGTTAAAGGCTGTTAAAAGTTGGATCCTTTGCTGTTTTCTAATTCACAGTGGGATAATAAATTGAAGCCAGCTTGACAGCATATAACAAACACATCAGCTATCTGTTGGAATCCAGCTTTTCAAACCTGTGAGACAGGGTGAGCTACCATCTGTCAGCTCCAGCTTCCCATGCAGGGACATGAGAGAAGTGTCCTTGAAGATGGCCAATTCTCTCATAACAGAAGCAACTTGCAGTTTCTCAAATCACTTCTGACATGGAAAAAATTTATCTGACTAAAGATATGCATTGCAAAAGTACAAGGGAAGGTTCCACAGTATATATTCTAAAGAAGCATGCCATGGGTAACTTACTCTGGATGTTGTGATGTCCAGTAATAGTATCTTAGAATTACTGGGAGACTTCAATGGCTGCAGAAGATTATACTCAAGCGGTACTGAAGATTATGAAAGTAAGAACGGTTTTGCTGCAATTCCTATTAAACCAAAGGTCCTACAAATTTTTCACAGTTATTGTTTATGCTTATCATTGAACATACTTAGGGAAGGCTTTTTCCCTGTGTTAAATGAGTTGAACTTCATGAATCAGAGTGTAGGGAGCAGAAGGACTATAAATACACACCCGCACACACTATCTAACTATGTTTAAGTGCTTAGGCACAATGTCCATGGGATGAAGTAGTCTTAAAAATTGACAAAAATATTAATTTTTTGATTTAGATCCTGCCTTTCTCCCAGTATGGGACATTAAGAGAGCCTTCTCTGTTGTGGCCCCTCAGCTTTGGAACTCGCTACCTAGTGAGATTAGGCAAGCCCCTATCTGGCAGACTTTAAGAAAGGCCTAAACACCTGGCTCCAAGTAGCAACAGTCAGAACTGACCACGGAACAACAGACTGGTTCAAGATTGGGAAAGGCGTACGGCAAGGCTGCATCCTCTCACCCAACCTTTTTAACTTGTATGCAGAACACATCATGACGATGTGCGGGGCTGGATGAATGCAAAGCTGGGGTGAAAATTGCTGGAAGAAACATTAACAACCTCAGATATGCAGATGACACCACTCTGATGGCCGAAAGCGAGGAGGAGCTGAGGAGCCTTCTAATCAAGGTGAAAGAAGAAAGCGCAAAAGCCGGGTTGCAGCTAAACGTCAAAAAAACCAAGATTATGGCAACAAGAATTATTGACAACTGGAAAATAGAGGGAGAAACCGTGGAGGCCGTGACAGACTTTGTATTTCTAGGTGCAAAGATTACTGCAGATGCAGACTTGTAGCCAGGAAATCAGAAGACGCTTACTTCTTGGGAGGAGAGCAATGTCCAGTCTTGATAAAATAGTGAAGAGTAGAGACATCAGACTGGCAACAAAGATCCGCCTAGTCAAAGCCATGGTATTCCCTGTAGTAACCTACGAATGTGAGAGCTGGACCTTAGGGAAGGCTGAGCGAAGGAAGATCGATGCTTTTGAACTGTGGTGTTGGAGGAAAGTGCTGAGAGTGCCTTGGACTGCGAGAAGATCCAACCAGTCCATCCTCCAGGAAATAAAGCCCGACTGCTCACTGGAGGGAAAGATACTAGAGACAAAGTTGAAGTACTTTGGCCACATCATGAGGAGACAGGAAAGCCTAGAGAAGACAATTATGCTGGGGAAAGTGGAAGGCAAAAGGAAGAAGGGGCCGACCAAGGGCAAGATGGATGGATGGCATCCTTGAAGTGACTGGACTGACCTTGAGGGAGCTGGGGGTGGTAACGGCCGACAGGGAGCTCTGGTGTGGGCTGGTCCATGAGGTCACGAAGAGTCGGAGACGACTGAACGAATGAACAACAACAACAAACACCTGGCTATTCTGACGGGCCTTTGACGAATGAACACATATCCCGATGTTTGTCCCAATTACAGACTTGTCCTCATGATGCATTTTCTCTTGCCCTTAATAAAAATCAACCCCATTGTTTGCCCCATCCAGGTTCTCCCCTTAGACACATATTACTCAATTTACTATCTCATCCAGGGTTTTATCAATTTTATTCTTCGCATTTGGCCCGCTCATTGTGCTTTTATTCCTTCACCATGTTATTTTGTGTTTGGTTATTTTATATTTTGTTATTCCATGTATTTATTTTGATGTTATTATTTGTTTGTTCTATTTTATTTTGCTGTATTGTAATTTTGTGTCCGGCCTCATGTTAGCCACCGCCAGTCCCCTTTGGGGAGATGGTGGCAGGGTATAAATAAAGTTTATTTATTTATTATTAAGTAACTTAAAATATAAGTGAAAATAAGATGGTTACAATAGTATGTGGTTAAAAAAAGTTTTGTAATCATTATTAAATATTAATATAAAATTTATTAAAATATTAATATAAAATTTGCACACACATTTCAATAAATAACATAGAAAAATAACTTTTAAAATAAAAATAAGACTCGTAATTATATTGAAAATAAATTGAATAAATTCAGGAATCTGCAGAGGAACTCAGAGTGCTCCTGTCTAAATTGTATATATCCACATTTCCATTCTCTTTCAGAAGGGATGAAGATCTGTTTGGTCCCCTGTATGTTATTGGATTGTTGTGGGATTGCATCTCCTATCAACTCTAGACTCATAGCTGTTAAGAAGTGAGGAATATTGGGAATAATCAGTAACAAAGTGAAAAGAAAATAATTTGAGTGTGTGTGTGAGAGAGAGATAAAATGTTACCCCAAAAGCTGTTCTATTGTTTTGAATTGTAATCAGGCTTGGCTTGGGCTGCAACAACTTATTTTCCCCCAAGGAAGCTTTGATACAAAACTAATAACAACATGAGTGTTGACGGCTTATAACAGAACTGCAAATGTTAATAAATATTGCAATGCTTTGTAAAACTCAATATAAAACAAAGGAGGTGTTTGATTTTTCTATAATGTGTTATATTTCTGCTATAACCACTAAATTAAGAAACTGCTTAATCAAAGCCTCTACAAGAGTTGTTTATCTTCTGCATTTCTATGCAGAATTATTCATTGTATCTGGTATTTGGGGCAGAATGTTCCCGAGAACAAAACAAAAGTCTTGTTATGAAATGGTAAAGGCTGAAAGTTGTTGGGACTTTTCTGATATCTATACTGTTGCAAGTTAGTTACAAGAATGTGCTCACTACAGGGCTGGTTCTTTTCCTGGTTTCATTTAGAGATGAAAGTATGTCAAGATATAGACACAGAAATGATAAATAAGGCTGAGCTGAAAGGGAGTACTTTTTTTGCAAATAGTTTGTGTGGCATTCTTGTTTATCCAGATAACTTGCAGTAATTCCTGTAAAAATCTCAGCTATGTTGGCCAATTTAACAAAGCCTTTCTTTATGCTTCATTTTACTCTCAGTGATGACATCAGATGGGTTGCAATCAGGTAGCGAATTCTGATGTTATAGCCTGCTTGCAGCTCCTGAGAGCATTTA